GGAGGGGGAAGGAGCAGCGAAGGGGGAGGAGAAGAGGAGGAACCGCAGAGCGGAGAGGAGCCGTGGAAGGGGGAGAAGCAGAGGAAACTGACGTGCAGTTGCCCCCACTTATCCGTATGACTTCCAAAAACGTCGTTTTCCTTCTCCAAAGAAAATGTGGAACTTGGATGTATTGGCAATAACATGTTGTTTGTTTTTTTGTGTTCCATCTGTCTCATTGCTTGACAAAAAATATAGGTTTATGCCCAAATATTTGTGACAACGGCCAATGCATGTCCTATCTGACATCCTTAAAACCCGTTTTTTTTAAAATCAACGTAAAGTTTTTGACTCGAGTCCAGTTTTCACGAAATGCCTACTTTTCACGAAGTGCATGTTAACATTCACTCTTGTCATCACAAACAACGATCCCCTCCTTGACATGATCATCTTTTCATCGAAAATATCCATGCATGCCATGCCATGAAGATGAGATATCGAAACACTTGCAACATCACTATTATGAAAGTCGGAGGGATGGAGAGAGGGAAACACTTGCAAGTTGCCTGTTGTTTTTGTAAAGGTCAAGTTGAAGCAAAGTGCGAGTGAACTCTTATTTAAGTGAATTGCTCGGGGTTCACACCTTAAGTGCGAGTGAACTCGCAATTAGATGGAGAGCTAGGTGCGTACACCACAAGTGCGAGTCATTAAATCTTTGCATGGACAAGATATATAACATCCATTCATATAATTAACTCTTGTCATCGCAAACATCGAGATGAAAACAGCTGCAAGTTGCGTTGTGTTTTTTTAAAGGTCAAGTTGTACACCACATGGAGAGTTTCCAGAAATCATTCAATGCAAAAAAATCATTCAATCGCAAATTGCAAAGTACACAGAGGCGTTTCCAAAATCATTCAATGAAAGAAAACATTCGATCCCACATTGCAAAGTATACAGAGGCTTTCCAAAAATCACAAAGTACATGGAACCTTTCCAAAAATCGTTGAAGGACACGTTCTAAGGTACATGTAGGCTTTTCAAAAATCATTCAACCCCACTTCGTACAGTCTACATGACATGCTCTCATCTACACAAGACGCTTTCGTAAAGTTTATATGACACGCCCTCGTCGCCAGAGCCACGAGCCGTCGAACACAGGCCCTACGTACTACGGTCATGTCGAACACAAGCCGAAAAGTCCTACATTACACTTGAAACAAGCCCTACCTCAAATACGAATATGTCGAACACAAGTTCAACGGAAGTCCTACACAAAAGCTGATTCAAGTCGAAGACCTACAACAACGTTGATTCCTGCCGAAGTCCTACATTACACAAAAGTTCATCCAAGCCCGACACGATGTTCACCTGCCTACACAAGTTCCACACAGAAGCTCATCCAAGCCCGACACGATGTCCAGAATGTGATACGGTCAGACCCATTGCAAAAGACATGAGGTGATAAATGCGAGTCTATTCGCATATAGAATCCGAATATCCTGAGACGATGACTATCTTCGTATCATGCGTCGTGTGAAAAGAGTAAGTTCAATCTCCATGTTAGCAATATGTACAGTCTTCGAGTAACGTGTCGCGATTGTTGTCTTTGCGCTCGTCTATGTCGAAGTCGACTAAAAGAATTTGGTTCGGGAATTCAAGCCTGAAGATCTACTTCAATATTTGGCAAGTCGCACACGAGTATATCTCTTAGAATTTTATTCAGATTGTTCGAGTTACAGATTTGGAACGGATAACGGTCTCCCCAGAACGACGGACTGCCACCATCTTCTCTCCGTAGAACGGCGGACTGTCATCATCATCGCGGACCGGAAGGTATCGGTATCTGGGAATCTCAGTGTTGCCAAACCACTAATGTTCTCAACTGCGGCAACACCCGTCGTCTGCATTCAATAAAATTCAATGGGATGTAAGCATAGTGCGAGTCTAACGCCGCTAGTGAAGATGTAGATCTCCAACATCGCAGTAAGGGCAGTCGCACACATATCTCGTCTTCCCATTGCGCAATGTCACATCTTGACTAAGTAGCAAATCCGGATATCCGGCAGACTAATTTTATCCAGAATTTTCAATCCGGATGAAATTTCCGGATTAATTCCGGATATGGAAAATCCCGCCCTGCGCAAAATATTTTTTTTTTACCGAAAAAAAAAAAATCAAAAAAATCTGGAAAACAATTATGTTGTTCATATCAATGATATTAACAACTTTTGGTTTGAGGCCATCTTTGATTACTCAACAGATATGAAGATAAAAAATAAAACAGAACAAGAAAATAATATTTAGATAAAAAATTATAGAATGAAATTCAATGAATTAAGCATCCCCCCTCTAAACCCCTTTATTCCCTATCTTATCCCCTTTGAACCCTTCCAGGCCATTTCAAGCTTTTCATTAAATAGGAATGTAGTTCTATTGTATTTTGCATGCGCAATATCACTTTTTTTTTTTTTTTTTT